TTGATTGCTGTTTTATATACTCATCTATTTCTTCCATCGAAGACAATTCTGATTCAATAGCCATAATTTCGAACTCCTCACACGAGTCAAACGACTGAATTAAATCCTGAGCTGGAGGATTTTTCCGCAATCTCATTTACTTGCTGTGACTTACACATTTTTGCAAAGTGATTTGGTTTAGAACAGTTTTTACATGTTTTGCCCATGGCCGGACATTTCTTCAAACGTCCTTCCCCAAATAGTCGACCACATCGAGTACACGTTTTCGGGTCTGTAAAGTTTCTACCCTCCTTTCTGTCTGATGATTTCTTTTTGTACATGTTGTTCGGTTGTCTCCTTCCATTAGCATTTTTATTGCCAATACTCATGATTGGTTCTTGTTTTATCTTCATTGTTCCATTTACCTGAGCTGTACTTGCAGTCGTTGCATTAGTTTTCTGAAATGCCTGAGTTGTCTGTTTACTTTGATCAAATTTCAACGCCCTTTTCAATACTTCCTCTGGTGAAAATGTTTCAAATGTTAATGTGTCTTGTAGTACCACATTTTTCATTTTCGATATGAATAGGTCACGCACTAGTTCGTCCTCCAGTGTCCCTAATTCTGCTCTGGCTGCTTGAGCACAATGCGGCATGAAATGCCTCGAGTGATTCCCCTGTTTCCTGTGAACGATTTAACAGTTTGTACCGTTCATACTGAACACTCTGTGATTTATCAAATGAAGTCTTAGCCAAGGCAACCATCTGTCGGAATTCTAACGTTGAAACTTCTACATGCGGGTTCTTTTGTAAAAATTTCTTCTTTCCTTCTGTTCCCAACGCCAGGAATAATCTAAAGGCTACTCTTTTCTGTACCTCGTTGTAATATACGTTGTGTCCAACCTTTGGTCCTCTAGTTTTTCTTTCTTCATTGTCCAGAAGGATATCTTGTCCCGGGCTAGTTGGTCTCGAGCCTCCCTTTCTGTAATCGCCTGAGCGTTTTCATGTTCTCGTGGGGTCTCTGGTCTTGGTAACGGTTCCAATAGAACTTCTTTCGGTTCTTCTAACAATTTTTCCGGATTCACGCTCTCCTTTTTAGTAACTGCCAAAAAAAATTGGTCTAGCCATATCTTGAAATTCCAAGGAGGGTCGGAATTCGCGGTTATCCAAAATACAGGGATCCCCATATCTGTTCTATTGTCCTGGGACAGAAATCCTGCTGGCTGCGCCATGTAATAATGTTATGCTATGAGTAGGTAAGAACCAAAGAGATTAATTGAAACATTTAATTTTGACTTCTGATTTACTTGGTTTTGTTAGAGATCACGTTCATGTGTCTCCTAAGATCGCAACCGTCCAAATGACTGTTACGTTTGGCCTGCATGGATGGCCTTGAATAATACTAACAATACATAACAGAATATTAAAAACACTTTCTCCAAGGTTACTGTGGCAACAGTACTACACGGTACCACATCTATAAAACACAAACATCATGAAATGTTTCGATACGTTTTAGCTTGAAAAGTGTATAGATTTCATTTTTTCTTTGGTTTTCTATTTCAATCTTATTTCCTATTCTATTTTGCCCCAAAAACTTGTCGCTCAAGTTTATATGATAAATCGCTTTCAAACTTTTACAGCAGTCGTAATTCGATTGACAAAAAAATGCCCGAACAATTTTCTCAGTGTCGAGAAAAAACAACGTTTTGGTTTCAAGAATAAATGTAAAGTGACGAGTCCCTCTTGACTTATACAATGAACGTGAAGGTACTTCCTCCATGCCGAGAAAAAATTGGCGATATTTTGAAAATCATTTGGTGAGATATCTGATGTACAAAAACTTTGTGCTGTTTCCAAAGCAGTCGTCGTTTTCATTAACCATCTCTGAGACTTTTATATTTCGATCAAAGTTTTGTTCTTCGAATGACTTAAAAAACCACTGGGTACGCGACAAATTTCTATGATAAACAAAGCAAGCGAAGACAATAAATTTTTTAATTGAAATCGACATCAGCAATCCATTCTGTGACAAAAATGCGACATAGTGACAAAAATGTACAACTCCTTGTTTTATAGATATAGGTATGTATTTCACCTATAATTCTTCTTCTCTTCACTTAATTCTTTGCAAAAAAATCAAAAGGTTTGGATACTAATTCTGGTGTTAGAATTGATAAACTTGCTAAACAATAAATGCTTTCTCCAACCTTTTTTCTTATAAACTCTGCAGGCCGCGGCAAATCTATTTAGCTAAATTAGACAAAAATTTCAGAAATTATTTTTTGCTTCGTAGATTCTTCTTTTGGGCCGCCTGACTTTTTGTCCTAGAGATATAACAAAGAATTCATTCAAAAATCTACGTCTTTAGACTTTATTATTATTTGTGCGAATGGGAAATTTTTTTCAGTTTTGGCCAATTGTTGGCTAAAAGACCCATTTTTATCGAAATCAAGAGATCTAACAAAACGTGAAAGTCAACTCGATCAAGTTTTTCCTTCTTTCGGTGGTGGTTCAGGATTTTGACATGGCTAACTATCCAAGCGTGTATATGAGAAAGATTGCCAAGAAATAACCCTGAACCAGCTCTAAAAATTGTCATTAAACTGGAGTATTTTTTAATTTAGCGATATCTATCTATGACAAGTCAACCCGCGCGATTTATCGCGCATTAATTGTCCCAAATTGGCCAAAATGGCAATCTTTAAACCTCCATAACTTTACGAAAAATGATCACAGTTAAAATATCTTTTCAAATTCAAGCTCAGGACAACAATAGCTTTCAATGGATATAAAAGTGTCGTCAAAAATGGCTAGTTAAAAATTCGAAATTTGTCTGAAGAAAAAAAAACCCACCCCGAGCACAAATGTTCCGTTACTTTCGTATCGAAAGTCGGAACAATAAGACTGCTCGTATCAAGGCAGAGCCCTGAATGTTCCGACTGTTTTTTAAGTTTTATGGAGCAGTAATAACATACAAAAATTAAATGTTATCAAAAAAATGAAACTTTTTTTTCTAAAATTTGATTTTAAAAAAAAAAATCATCCCCCACAGGTCATAATAAGTACTAAGTGATAGATTTTGCTCCTATTAACAAACCAATTATGGCACATAAGCTTCCTTGAACCAATTTGGAACGATTTCTGAGGCGGATTAAAACTCGCTTACGCGTTAATAGCGCGAAAAATATCGCGCGTTAATAGTCCCAAATTGGCCAAAATGGCAATCTTTAAACCTCCATAACTTTACGAAAAATGATCACAGGTGAACTATCTTATTAAATTTAAGCTCAGGGCAACAATACCTTTCGAATGATATAAAAAGTGCCGTCAAAAATGGCTAGTTAAAAAGTCGAAATTTGTCTGAAGAAAAAAAAACCCACCCCGAGCACAAATATTCCGTTACTTTCGTATCGAAAGTCGGAACAAAAAAAATATATTTGTTTTTGAAGAAAATAAATTTAGATATCCATTTAGGCAGCCAAAATCAAATTTAAAGCTTAGTTGCAAACTGCTTTATTTGACGTCAGAAATGTAACAAAAATCAGTAATTAAATTTGTAAAAACTATATAATTTTCTATAAGTTGTGTTTCAATTCCACAGACAGCAATTAATTTGGCGGCTGTTTTATAGATTGAATTGCTAATTGGATTTCATGAGCAAATCCCCGTAAAACCCATTAAGTCACTTTTTGGATCATAATAACACCCATTTTTGAATCATAATTTTGGATCATGAGCAAGCCCATTTTGGATCATAATTACACAACTGAGTTTAAAAACAATTGAAATGGTTTTCTGAGCAGCATTTTTTCCGAGAAAAATTTCGAATCAAACTAAAGGTGTTGATATTGAAAAACCATTCAATGACGGCAGTCAAGGCGGGTTTTGGTTTCTTCCGTGTCCACGGTATCAGTTTTAATCAGCGCTGGTCCAAACTGAATAGCAGCCATATTAATTTGCTCCAAATAATAATAATAATTGTAGTTCCTGCGAATCGCAGAGGAGCTATCAGTCCTGTCGAGGATAGTCCATTTGTATAATCTCCCCACATTCCAGACAGTGTTATTTTTGCTGAGCGAAGCTGTTTTTTGCGACTCAAGGCTGTTTTTTTTGCGTCTTGAACTTTTACGTGGTACCACTATTGCAGCCAAACTTGGTCAGGTTGTGGTAGACCTGAAGCTGGAGGTCAAGTGAGAGCTTGTCTTCACACACTATCATTGCCATGGCATGTGATCGAACACACGATCTGACGATTTCAAAAAGAACGCCTTACCACTGTGCTAAGTGCCTCCAGATAATGCGGTTCTAGACGCAAACCTATCACTGCCTGTGGAAGATGGTTTTCTTCAATAAACTAAATTTGTACCATTTTTAGAGATTGTGATTTTTTAGCTTTTGTTCCGACTTTTGAAGAAAGTCAATGAGTATTTGGATATTTGGGCCCGAGATGGTTTTTTTCTCCAGATAATTTGCGACTAGCTTTTTTTATGAAATTTTTTTCGAATCATCCGAAAAGTTTTGCTTAGCTGACCTCAAATTTAGAATGACGTTTTACCTTATTGGGGAGTAAAGATTGTTAATATAGCCGATTTGCGACATTTAACTAGCGATATAATTCGCGCTAGTAACAGTTAACCGGATATGTAGTCCGGCTTAGAAATTGTTCGGAATTGGTTTAAGCAGGTTATTTGCTATGACTGCTACGTTACTACGTTATTAGAAGCAAAATTAGGCACGTGGAGGGATATATATTTTTTTTCCTTTTCTGCTTTTCAAGTTTTTTCTTTATTTTTCAAAGTTTCACCAATTATTTTAGGCGAACATAGCTCTATAGATCTTAAGAAGCATCAGGGCACCACCCTGATGTGAGAAATCTTGTTTAGTTTTGTGATCATTAATCTAATAAACGTTTTTATTGACAATATTGAAAGGCCATTGGAAAAATTTAGGGCTTGGAGATAATTTTCGTGATACTTTTACATATTACCGATTAACTTTTATCCAAACTAAGATCATCTCACCTGACGAGTGCTCTTCTCTCTCTGGCAGTTGGCGAATTGAACTTTGTGGGGTTCATGTATCCACAGTATCCGGAAGAATAACTTGTGGTGGATCGGATAAATGCAGTGCAGGAGGAGAGGAAGTTCCCAACATCCCCCTCGAATCTCTCCAGGGCAAGGTTCAGTCCCACTCGCACTGAGTGATGGCTGGAGGGAAAAGTATCGATTCTAAAATAGTAACTTGTTCTGAGAAAAGATTGCAGAAAAAGAGTGGTTTAAGAAGTTTAAACTAATAGATTTAAGAAAATGCTTACAGAAGTTTTGATTTCAACATACATTGGGCAACGATTTTTCAGACCATTTATTTGCATGATGACTACTATAAGGTCTGTTCAAGTTATTGGTTATTGAATGGGATTTTCCTTTGATGGGTTATAATGCTATCTTGTGAAGGTGGTGCTAGATTAGAAAAAAGATATATTTTTTGCGCATTATTTTTAATTATAGTTTTAGACTTTAAATCATTCAATTAAAATCAAGATATATCATAGCCTTTTCTTTTTCGTGCCTTCAAAAACTTTCGTAGGATATCAAATTGTAACTGTTCTGACCTGACAGTGCATTGTGCCTCATTGGAGGGTGAGCCTGAGTCGTATGCCTGGACTGTGAGCACAAATGTCCGGTAGCATTCCAGACTAGCACCCACTTTCAGGTAGATGTCTCCTAGAAAAACAATTAAATATAAGATACAATTTTGTTACAGGGCCAGATCTAAGATTTTGTCGAGCTGGTTCAAAAAGTTCTAAAAGTTCTTTTTGGGTCTACTTTTAGGTGGATCTCAAATTTTATAATACTGCACGGTAGGAAAATACTGTGCAAGTTTTATAAAAAGCCACAAATTTCCTTTTTAGCACGTGTTCAACCTTCAAAATTATGTTTATTGTCGTTAAGGCGCCTCTAGAAATCTTATTGTCACTAGGCTAAAAATGCGTGCAGTAAAGTATTGCCAAAGTGGGCACCCTGTGGGTGGTAAGGGATCAAATCCCAGAGAATTGCAAGTGATCGAATCGCGTTTTTTTATTTATCTCACTGATAATAGTTGGCAACTATCACAAAGTGGAACCCTTTGGGTCGGTAGAGGTTCGGGTCCCTGGGGAAAAACTTGTCCCCCCCCTCCAAAAAAAATATTCGGTAATGACGTTACTAGTCGGTAATAACGGTACAAAATTCGGCAAAAACGTTAATGACGACGGTACTAGTTGTCAAACAACTTAATTTATTTTAACATACCTGTAACTTGGTCGAGCTCAAACATGCCAGGGCTATCGAAGAACTCGTAAGTTACAGTTCCGAAGTCAGTTTCGTCCGCGTCGGCGTCGATCGCTTCAACCTCGGCAATTGAGTACAATCCCGAGTCCACCGAGTCACACGAGTACGCTTGAGTGTAGAAATTAGGGGATCTCGTGTTAATCCAAACAGGTGCGTTGTCGTTGACGTCAATAATTATCAATGTCACCGAACAAGTCGACGATTTAGTACTCGGAGATCCGGTGTCGGTGACGCAAACGTCGAGAAGAATCCGAGTTCCTTTCTCGTAGTCTAAAGCCGACCCAACGGCAACCAAACCCGAGTTAGCGTCAATTGTGAACGAGTTAGCCGGTATCTCTGCTGTTGGGTTTGAGTCGTTGATATAAACTTGTCGGTCGATCGAAAATCCGACAGTTTGTGATTGGTCGGCGTCGGTCGCTGTGACTGTTATAACCGATGTGCCAACTGGCGTGTCTTCTGCAACTGTTTCGATATACTGACTTGATCCGCAGACGGGTTCAAACTCGTTCTGATCTGCGACTTGGACAACACACGTCACATCAATGTACAAAGACGGCGAATCAGTGTCGTTGACCCGAACTGTCAAATTGTACTCCGATTCACTTTCGGCATCATAACTTGCGACTGCGGTTAGAATCTCACCCGTTGTCGGAACAACAAAAAACTCGTCGGAAGTTCCGAGAACGGTAAAAATAAAACCAGAGCTGTCGTCGTCCAGAACAGAAGCCAGACCCGTCAAGGGACTGGTTGGGGTCACAGTTGTCGGAGTATTGTAGTCGCCTTCGGCAATTGAGAAATAGAGAGTAGTTCCTGTCATGTAATATGGCGCTTCATCGTTACAATTAAATATTGTGATATTAACATTTGTTGAGTCTGTTTTTGAGGGGTCTAAAAATCCCCTTGCGTGAATCAAGAATTCGTAGCTTCGTTGTCCCGACTCGTAGTCCAATTGGATGACAGGAGACCACCCGTCGTCCGAGTTGATTGACCAATCAGAGGCGGAGGCGAAGTCTGGGCTCGTGGGGTCGACAGAGTAGACGACTTCGGCGTTCGGACCTTCGTCTATGTCCGTAGCTGTAGTCTGAAACATCACGTCACTGTACGTGGTTATGCGTGCGTGCTGCTAGGACAGGGAGCAATTCTGCATTTATGATTCCCGGCTAATTTTCCGTTATATGACTTTAAATTTATTTAATCAAGATTACGTATTAGGATAGTTTGGAAAAATGAGAATAAGCAAAAAATAAATGAAATGCTTGCGCAAAAACGTATACCCAAAAAATATTAAGAAATGGAAATTTGAATTTTTTGAGCCCAATTTTTGATATACTAAATTTAAAGTCACCCACACAAAAAACTAGGAATTACTAAATTACCAGCGGATTCAGGGGGGGGGGGGGGGGACGTCTCTTTCCTCTGGGTTTTCGACCCCCTGCCGACCCTTTGCACTATTTTGAGATATCCATTTTTTTGCTGACGGGCCCTTAAAATTTTTTAAAGGCGCTTTGGCGCCAAAATATACTAATTTTGAGAGGAGCGCGCGAAGAAAAAACGCGATTTTTTGGTCAAAATTTTCCAAAAAGTGCCTAAAAACGCCTTTTTTGGCTTCTCGCCTGCGGCAAAAAAAATTTGGTCAAAATTGGGTCTTTTAGTGATTTGGTAGAGCTGAGAAAATCAAATTGGTCCACCTAAAAAAAAGTCGACAAAATTTTCGAAATGTTTTTTGTAAATCCGCCCCCTCCCGTCGAGAAAATCCTAGATTCGCCCCTGCTCAAAGACATAATTATTGAAAACGACCCTATTTTCCGATTAAGCTATGCCTCTTTGCCGGAATGTGGATTATTCGCTTAATTCAGATAAAATAAAATAGCTGCTGAACTTGGAAAAAAAAGCTTACGAAAAAAACTGGCACCCCCAGCTGTGAGCACTCCGAGACCGAAAGTGGAATGAGAGCGGATGGAAATAGAGGGGGGTTGTTGTCCACATCTTCCAGATGGATCACCACTGTCTGTGTTCCGGTGAGAGGTACCGGAAGTCCGTCGTCACGACACATCACCTCCAGTTCAAGTCTGAACAAATGTTCAACAAATTAATTGTTTATCAAGGTAGCAATAATCTCTTGTTCACAATTTGACTTCTACATAACACATCGACCGGTTTTTTGTGCATCATTTGTTTAACCTCAAATTCCACACGCTTTTTCTGTAAAATACTTTAAAAATTTCCAAGAAGAGCCAAAATTTTTCTGTTTTCTCAGATATATGATATTCTTAAAAGTAGAGAAGTTTTGAGAATAGCCTTAAACGATTCAATTAAATTAAAAAATAGCTACCCGCTGTGAGCGGTTACATATTTAGATGTCAATCAATAGTTGCTATCCATTATTATTTGTATTCTTGAGAGTTTTCATATTATGACTAAGTGTGAATTTGGTACCTGCCTGTCAGTCAGTCTAGGTCTGTCTAGTCTGCTATTTGTTGACCTCTAGTTCAGTGTTTTATTTATGCGAACTAGAAACAAGTTGAGTTTAATCTTCAACCGTATAGTTTTAACTATTCCTTATTATGGAGCAGCCAGCAGATGGAGGGGGGAAAAACCCCTTGGAATTGTAGCATTCTGGCCTCCGAATCAGGCGGAGCCACAATTACTATGGTAGCATTGGAAACAGAGATTCCATTGGGCAATGGTGGCGAAGCACGGATCAGTTTCGTCTGAATACTACTTTGCGTCAACTTTGACCGAAGCGCAGATTACTGGACTGCGGGATGTTGGTGGAAAACCGAGGGAAGAAGGTGAACGCACACTCATATCGAATCTGTACCTATGTCTAGGACACGAGGGACAGCGGGTCTTGCATAACCAGCATCCACACTTGAATATGGAAGAAATACGATATCCAAGATTCTTGGATACATGTGTAGCTCTTTTCCAGAAAGAGCGAAACTAAACTTATGAAATGTACCAAATGTTGTCCAGGAAGCAAAAAGAAGAACAGAGTGTAGAGTCGTTCTACGCAAAACTCAGCGGAATGGCGGCGAGATGCAACCTGGGTACCCAAAAACACGGAAAATGGTGAGAGACATATTTATATTTATTATTGGGAATAGGGACGCGCAGAACGAGCTGTGCCGGGAAACAAAAACCCCGGAGGAAGCACTGAGGATCGCAATGTCGTATGAAAGAGGCAACAAGTACGCAAAAACTTACAAGGGAAGTGCGCCAGGCTCTACGAGAACTGCCTACACAACACCAGGGGGTTCTCTACAAATCAAAGCGGAACCGATTAGTAATGTTCAAAGATCTAGGGGACGAGAAATACAAAGAGTACGGGGACAATACCAGAATCGGGGATGAGCCCGAACGCAAGAGCGTAGATGCTATAACTAGGACCAGCCACAATTCAATCCAGAACAACGACAACGATGCCCAGCAAGAGCCGTCACATGCAATTTCTGCAAAAAGGTCGGGCGTTTTGAGGACTTGTCGGGGGAAGCGGCTGTCACGTGGGGGACAACCAGTTGCACTATTCCAAGGGGCTGAACCGTTCGATGAAGAGGATACTCCCTCGGATGAAATTCGGTCACAACATGCTGCCAATTCAGTAGGTTTCGTCAAGAGAGAACATCACAGCTGGTCATCGGAGAGTTCGGATGACTATATGGTTATGGCGATTAGACGTAAAAAGGAAACACGTTGAAAGTTGCCGGGCCTCAGCCTAAAATCTGCATTATTGGACACCCAATGAACATATGGATTGACAGCGGATCGTCTATATCCATACTAACACTTGACGACTTGAAGAAAACATTGGGAAGAAAGGGAATCAACTTGAAACAAAACGACATGGAATACGTTGAATTTCGGGACTACAGCAATAATCGGATCAAAATATTGGGGAGAATGGAGGTTGAGTTAGCATCGAACGGCTGGAAAACAAGAGCGGAAGTCAGGGTCATCGGAGGGACCAGACCCTCAATCGTGGGACGTGACTTAATGGGGAAACTCGGACTACAGTTGATGCAAGCAGATACTAGGGGAGAACTGATGAATGTCCAAGGGACGGACGCAGGACAGCACATGTGAGACGCAGCAGGCTGGAGAATCGGAAGAAGAGCAAATAGACCCCTGGCAACAATATTTTAGTCAGCTATTCCCAAAACTTTTTATTAGAATCGAAAAAATTAGAAATTACAAGGTCCAAGCGGAATTTTGTCAAAAATCTCGTACCGGTGCAGCAGAAGGGCCGGAGAGTGCCGGTAACGCTCCAAGACAAAGTGGATAAAGAGATCGATAAGCTACTAGCCCAGGGACACATAGAAAAATTGCAGGAACGTTCGAATCGATACTTTGTTTCTCCAATTGTTATTACCATCAAAAAGACGAGTCCGTGAAATTAGCGCAGGATCCTCGAGAACTTAATAAGCAGGTGCATAAAAACAAGTACCAAAAACCCAACATAGAAGAACTTGTAGATTCAATAGGACAACTTATTTCCGAGAAAAAACAAGGGGAGGTGGACTTAATCACGATGGATTTAACGTACGCGTATGGACAACTACCACTCAGTGAAGAAACAAGTGTACATTGTAATTTCTCCTTGGTGAGCGGACGGTCGACCGGAACGTACCGGTTTTGTACAGGATTTTACGGGTTAACGTCAATGCCAGCAGAGTTCCAACGGGTAATGGACTCAATTTTTAACGAATTCCCTCAATCAAACGCTTTCATTGATGATATTTTGGTTACGACCAAGGAAGTTGAAGTGGAGCATATATCCTTGGTTGAAAAGATTCTTAGAAAATTGAATCGAGAAAACATCTGGCTAAAACTGCCTAAGTGTGAGTTCGCGAAGCGAGAATGCGAGTGGCTCGGTCATCGTATAAGAGAAACGGGAGTAACGCCTTTGAAACGTAAGACGTCGCCGATTGATGCATTAGCGGCTCCTAAAACAGTAAATCAATTGAAATCATTCATGGGCTCAATCAACAGCCTTCATAAATACTTAATGGCTATAGCAGAAGTTTCAGCTCCTCTAAGGCCGCTCTTCAGCAAGAAGAGTCATTATAACTGGACCGCGGAGTGCGAAAATGCCTTTCAAAACATTAAATTGGGGGTAGCAAACATTTTCGAATTAAAACACTTCGAGATTCACAAAGACATAAGGGTTGTTTGTGATGCAAGTCACAATGGTCTTGGAGCAGTTTTGGAGCAATTGGGTACAGAAGGGTGGCGCCCAATCTCATTTGCATCACGATATTTAAACGCAGCAGAGAAAAAATACTACACTAACGAGCTCGAAATGTTAGCAGTTGTATGGGGGGCCGAATACTTCAGAAACTACATTCTAGGAAGACATTTTATGTAATTACAGACCATAAAGCTCTAATTTCTTTACTCAACGGGAAAAATAAGAAAAACAAAACTCTATTTTCAAGATTAACACGATGGCTAGATAGATTTATTCCGTTTGACTTTGTCATAGAACATAAACCAGGTGCAAAAATCAGACTCGCGGATTATTTGTCAAGACACCCTAGCGAACCCCCAAAACCTATAAGCCAGTACGATAACTTATTCACCGTCGCAAAACTAGTTTCAATGAAAAAATCCCTTGATTTTACAAATAATCCTAAATCCCTTGGTAAGAGAAACAATATCAAAACCAAAGAAACTGGTTCTAAACAGTCTAGACATTTTTCGTCCAATCAGAATCAAGAACGGAAAACATGCTTACGCATAACGACGGTTGAGGGCGGAAAGTCATGCTTGAAGACACAGACCAATAGGAAGCGATCAACTTGCATACTGCATACATCAACGAAATCCAAGGGAAATTCGGTGTGCTCTATATATCATTCCCTTGGAAGACGGTTCAAACAACCTAACTTACAAAAATCAGACAAAATCTACAATAACTCAAAATTTTCTCTTCCAGTTATAGAAATAGATTCTAAAGTTAACTCTCCAATTAGATTAGATGGAAATTTGAATGAGTAGCAATGAAATCACTGTTATAAACCCAGAATTAGAAGCCATTACAAAAAACACACGGGATTCAAAAAATAACACAGTACTTTCTATTCTTTCAAAATTTCCAGGCCAACTATTTCCTACTATTAACCCTAATTAACAAATTATGTCCATCATTCCACGCGATTGTAAAGTCATCAAGAAATCCAAAGCGTTACCGGAATTATTTAACTTGGAAATTATTGCTTCCAATCTTGCGGTGGACGTCAATTTACTCAAATCAAAAGAGGCACTGCAGAAGAAAACAAACCTTAAGGAGGAACTGAAGAATTGGGGAAGTACTGAGCCCAATATGCCAATAACCTGTCACTGAAAGATGACTGCGTGTAGTTAGACGGACGGCTAGTCATTCCTCTACAACTACAAGTTCCGATCGAGACGAGAATGCACTTCTACCACCATGGGAAGAGAAATATGTTTGAGGCAGCGCGGGATGTATGGTACCCTTATTGTACCGTAGTCTGGCAGCGAAGGCCACGTACTGTCAACAGTGCACGGATGCGGGTAAGAACTTAAAAACTCTGTTACCCAAGGGAGACGTAGGAAAAGTCCCTGAACCAAGGGAACCGAATGAATTTCTACAGTTGGATTTCTGGGGGCCAATAAGCTACTTAAACGAAAGTAGGAAATATGTCTTAGTTGCTACAGACCGTTTTTCACAGTGGCCATCAGCGATGGTTACTACCACCAACACTTCCGATAAAGTTTTAAAATTTATCGGTAAAAACATCACTCAACATGGAGTACCTCGGAAAATTCACGTAGACCAGGGATCATATTTCACATCTAATGAGTTGAAAAGCTTCTGTAATAGCGAAGGTACCGAGCTAGTTTACTCCCCAGTGAACGATCACCGGGGCACGGGTTCAGTTGAAAGAACGATAGGAAGCCTGAAGAACTTTGTTCTCACCTATGCATCCGAAAAGGAGCATGAATCTTTAAAGTTTATGGTCGATAAAGCGTTGGGCGCGTTACGGTTTTCCCAAAAAAGCAACGACTCAGCTGACTCCTTTTGAAGCACACCATGGCCGGGAGACAA